TTTTTCTGAAAATGTATTATGAATTTTATTAGAAAACTTCCATGATGCTACATTAAACGTGTTACATAGCAAATGCTTTTCAATGTTATAGCAATTAGAATCTTTGTTTTCGGCTGCATGATCAGCTATCGCTACTTACGACCACCAAAAGTTTTCAACGCGAACAAGGCGGACGGTTGAACACACGTCTGAGCTGAAACTGAAAATCTTTCCTTGTCTTGTATCACGCATTTCTTTTTTTCTGAAACCTGTCATTATGAAGAAGTCTATTATTTCTGATGGAAATAAGTCGGTTAACTATCGGCAATCGTAATATTAATTGATATTGCGGGTAGAACGAAGTTTTCAGTTTATTCATGAAAGTTTATTCGTGGGATAAAATTATTTCACAAAAATTTGTTTTTTCACAGAAGCGTAAATTTTATTTTACGGAAAGAAACTTTATACATCCAATAGATAAACTTTTGAGAACTTTTTTTTCAATGAATTGAATATACACTAATCTTTCGAAATATACAAATGCTAGAAAGTACCTCTGTTTTCTTATAGCAGACATTTAAAAAAAAATATTTCGATGTGGACTTATTTATTTTTAATATGTTTAACTTTTATTTAAACATTGTAATCGAAAATCATGCTTGTGACATAAAATTGATGCGATATATCGCACTGGTTGCGATTAAGCAAGACAAAAAGATCGCGACGCACAATTTCAAGAGGCACATCTCTGCCGTGCCAAGGAAAAAAGTGGTTAAGTCACATTTTTAAGAAAAATGAGTTTTTTATACTAACAGATTCGTGACAAAGAACTACGTCTAATTGTATTGACAAAAACTAACAATTATTATTTATTGAAATAAAAACGGGTTTAGGTAAAAGTTTCGAATATGACTTTTTTTCTCTTGTATTTTCAAGAAGCAAGAATCTTAAGTGCATTTTCGAGTAGTAAATATTTAAAAAAATAACTTTATTGCAGAATAAACAAAAGCGTACCCGATTTACCCAATATATGCTTTTGTATTCATAGAGATTTACCATTTACCAATGATGGATCTGCAATCTTGTGTTGAAATTGCTCGAATTCATAACGGTGCGTTTTGTATCTGCGATTGACGTTGTGTGAAACTAAATAACTTTCCTTGCCTTGCATCACGCATTTCTTTTTTTCTAAAACCTGTCATTCTGAAGTCTGGCATTTCTGATGGAAATAGGTCGTTAACTATCGACAGTCGTGATATTAACTGATGATGTGGATAGAACGAAGTTTTCAGTTTATTCGTAGGATAAAATTATTTCGCAGAATTTTATTTTTATTTCACAGAATCTCCATTACGATTCCCTAAGCAGACATCTGAGTAGAAATTTATCCAATTTCTGACCAGTAACTGTCCAGGAATTTTTAGTAACTAGCTAGTTTTTAGTCAGTTTTTCTTGATTAGAAACTGACTGGTTTGATCGACACTCACTTCGTTAAAAATGTGACAGTTGAACTAGACAGATCAGTTTTTAATTAGATTTTGATCAATATCTAATCTGTTTATCAGCAGTTTATAAGCAGTTTTTTACTAGTTTCTATGTAGTTTTTGACTATTTTATAAGCATTTTTTTATTGGTTTCTGATCAGTATCTATTTTTTTTCAGTTTATTAATAGTTATAAATAATTTAACTATATATGTATCAAAACTATAATTTTATTAAAATTAAATTTTTATAATTTTTATTAAAAAAATTTTTTTTCATCTTTAATATAATATTTTATTTTATTTTGGCCAGGAACTATCTCGAAAAAATTCGTCAGTAATTTCCGATTTTTTGCTGGACAGAAAATGCACAGCATTTCCTTACCATATTTTTTATATAGTTTCTAACAAATATGATTAAAAAATATTGAACAATATTTTCAGAGTTTTTACTGGACAGAAACTATCCAATATTTACTTACTATTTTCTTTACATAGTTTTTGACAAAACACTACCCAAGAAATACTGAACAGTATTTTCAGAGTTTTTACTGGACAGAAACTATCCAATATTTACTTACTATTTTCTTTACATAGTTTTTGACAAAACACTACCCAAGAAATACTGAACAGTATTTTCAGAGTTTTTAATGGACAGAAACTGTCCAGTATTTATTTACTATTTTTTCAAGTCTAGTTTCTGACTAATTGGCCATGAAAAAATAGCCAGTATTTTCTACCAAGTTTCAAAGCGGTAACTGTCTAATTAATCCTCGCCAGTAAAAACTGTCTAGTTACTGGGCAGTAATCAGTTTTTCCCTGAGATGTTTCTACTCGAGCAGTTCTCGTCGATTTTCTCAGCTTGAAGGCAAACGCAGTAAACCACTTTTTCCTTAGCACGGCAGATCTCTAGGCAGCACCCATTTGAACTCGTTTCAGCGATAAATGCGCGCACATCTGTTCGAGCCGCGCGAGAACGCGCACACCACGCGACACTATCGAGACGGTTTTACGGGGCGACGACAGACTGCTCGTAAAGCAGCGATCGCATCACGCGCTAAAGCCGTAGTGGCGCAGGTGAAACGTATCGGGAACAGGTCAAATCGATCGCGAGGAGCACTTTTCACGTGCCGGCGCGCGGCACGCGCTCCCGTCAATCAACGCGACGTCGATCATTTCGCCGTGTCGAAGGTGACGACACGGCGTTGTGCGTCCGAGCGCGATCAATTTCCCGACGCGACGTCGCCCCGATCCGACGAGAATTCACAGAGCTCGGCGACGAGCGTCACACCCCGAGCCGCATCGGGGTTTTACGACCAGAAGACACGAACGACGTCGACGAACGCTGCTCTTCGCGCTGGAAGTATTGTTCTGTTTTTCTGCGACGCTCAACACTGCCCGAGCAATCGAGAAATGATGGATCTGCAAGCTTGTGTTGAAATGAATTCATAACGCTGCGTTTCGTATCTGCGATTGACGTCGTGTGAAACGAAATAACTTTCCTTGCCTTGCGTCGCGCATTTCTTTTTTTCTGAAACCTGTCGTTTTCTGAAGAAGTCCCATTTCTGATGGAAATAGGTCGTTGACTATCGGCAGCCGTAATATTAATTGATAATGCGGGTAGAACGAAGTTTTCAGTTCATTCATGAAAGTTTAGTCGTGGGATGCAATTATTTCACAGAATTTTATTTTTATTTCACACAAGCGTAAATTTTATTTTACGGAAAGGAACTTTATATATCCTATAGGTAAATTTTTGAGAATTTTTTTTTCAATGCACTGAATATACACTGAATAACTTTCCTTGCCTTGCGTCACGCATTTCTTTTTTTCTGAAACCTGTCGTTTTCTGAAGAAGTCCCATTTCTGATGGAAATAGGTCGTTGACTATCGGCAGCCGTAATATTAATTGATAATGCGGTAGAAGTTTTCAGTTCATTCATGAAAGTTTAGTCGTGGGATGCAATTATTTCACAGAATTTTATTTTTATTTCACACAAGCGTAAATTTTATTTTACGGAAAGGAACTTTATATATCCTATAGGTAAATTTTTGAGAATTTTTTTTTCAATGCACTGAATATACACTGATCTTTCGGAATGTACAAATGTTAGAAAGTTCTGGGGTCGAAAATAAAGCTTCGACTCGCGGGGAAAGTCATCCGAATTCAAGGGACACGGCGATCACTCACTGAGAAAAAATATTTGAAAATTTATTCGCGCATTGAACACACGCTGAGAAAAAACACACACAACCGAAAAATACGAATCTGAAATTGCTGCTGGAACAGACGCGTTTTCGAGAAAACACACTTCGAGTCGAGCACGCGACGGAGAACTAATGGAAAAGCGAAGGAGTCCGAAAGTCGTAACGGCGTAATGATCCGTGCAGTCGTTTGCATAAAGTTGGCTACATTCTTTCAGGTAACTTGTGCGATATAAGGATATCTATACTTCTACAATAAGAACCAACCGCCGATCGCACAGGCGAAGTTATATATCTAATGAAACCATTATTACACTTACTTAAAATTGAATTGTAAATAAATGTAACAATGGTTTCATCAAATACATAACTTCCCTTGTGCGATTGGCTCTTATTAGCCTTTTCCTTATGTCGTTTCATTGCATGTGTGAAGAGCCTTTAACTTCTTGAATATTTGCACTTCTGCTCACGAATTACTTCAGACACCTCGTATTGAGAAAGCTGCCAGCTTTCGAAGTTCCCTCAGTGTTCAAGTTCGCGCACAGAGTCCGCGGACTCGTTAGACTCTCGCGTGTTCGCTCGTCAAAAGCGCTGCGAGACGACTTTGTGCAAACGACTGTACGCGCGTGCGATGATCACTTGCACCATTGACGCGGAGCAGAGCTCCACGAGCGATCGAGGCGAAACGCGCAGGAATCGATCACATCACCTCGTGCCGTTCACCCTGGGCGTGCGACAATACAACGACACACAAAGACACCTTCTAAGCACAGACAGACGGACAACTGATGGCGCGACGCGAGATACAATCCGGCCTCAGGAACAGAATTACTCGGCGCGTTGTAGTCCCGGAAGACAACACACTCGCTGGGCTAACCGCCGGACTCCGACCCGCTGGCCATCGATCCGAATCACGCACTGCCGCTGCCCCGACGGGGAACGAGATCGGAGAAGACACGATGCTTCTCAGGACGAGAGCACGTCCCCTGCGACTCGCGCTGCGATGCGATCCTCTCCCTGCTCGGAGACCGCTCTCGGAGGGACACCCTCCGGGAGAGAGAACCAGAGCGACGCGGAGACTCCGCGAAACACACGGCGCGGCGGCTCGCGACCGAATGCCGGCGGCTCCTCGCGAGGAGCCGCTTCGGCGACTCGCGGCGCGCTATTGGCTCGCGGCGCCCCACCGCGCGCGCTTACCCCCGCGCCGGGCCAATGGTCGCGCCGCTATCCCCCCGGCTGGCGAGAGACCGCGTGTGCACCCACGCAAGTCGGCTCGTGGCTCGAGGCTCACGGCAGTCACTCAGTCAATCAGTCACTCAGTAGGCCCGCGGCGCGGCACGAGGTGGGACCTGTGAGCGTACGTTACGAGGAGTGGTCGATTATTTACGTGCGCGTGGATCGTGTTACGCCGTGTCGTCGTCGTAGTCGGCTCGCGACAGCACGAGGTTGCTCACCTGCTCTCCTCACGCCGAGCGTATCCACCTCCGCGTTGATGCTCGCTATCGGAACGGCCGACGGATCTGGGAATCCGAGCGGGCGAACGCTGTTTGGTGCACCGTCGCGTCGCGTAGGCCGTCGCGTTAAGATCGCGTCGACCTCCTCCTCGTCGTCCTCGTCGGCCCGGATGTCTTGGCCGAGCTGAGGGATCGCGTACTCTCCCTCCCGCGGGTTGCCGAGCCCAGCAGCTCGAGGCGCGTGTGTTAACGACCAGGTGATACCGGCCGCGTGTGGAACGATGTGCGTGACAGCCACGCCGTTGAGCGCGACGAAGATACTGAAGGATTGCGCGAGGCAGCCGGCGAGGACTACTATCGCGAGCAGTGCACAGGTGCAAGGATTAAGCGGCGCCGGCGGTGGCCACCACAACAACAACAATCACAACGGCAACCACCACCACAACCACCACCACAGTCACCATCATGCCGGCGACACGGACAGACCGCAGCACACGTCGATCATGTAAATAGTCGATTCTCTTCCGTCTCTCTCGTCGACGATGACGTCCGAGCCTCCCGCGCACGATAAGCGTCTCGCACGCGAGCGCGCCTCGGGAAGGACGACGAACTCTCGTGCGCGCGCGATCGATCGACGTTGTGTAATCCTTCGGGTGTCAAGGCCGCGATGACAGTGAAAAGTGTCGCGAGCGAGCGTCGCGAACGTAAACTCGACGGCGCGGGGAGAGTTATCGATCGTTGAAATTGCGCGAGAGAGCTCGCGCGATGTCGAAATTTCCGCGGTGAGATCTTCGCGCGCGAGCGTCGCGAGTCGTACGTGAACTGTACGGGAATAGCCATCGATCGCTAAAATTACGCCAAGTCGTGATGTCGGGCTTTTTTGCGGAGAAATCTCGCGAGGGAAACTCGCGACAGTGAAAAGTGCCGTGAGTCGGCGCCGCGAGCGTAAACGTCCCACGTGTAAACTGCACGGAAATAGTCGTTGGTCGCTGAAATTACGCGAAATCGTGATACCGAAATATCGTCAATCTCTCGGGGTGAAATCCCACTCAGAGCGAGTGAACCTTCACGCACTTGAGGCTGCGGCGCAAACACCGCTCGGAATCATCGGAGTGATCGTTTAACTCGGATCTAGGACGAATTCGTAATCCGTACGAGTGAATGTTCTCATCGATCAGAGTGAATTTATTTCAGTTACGTGCGCGGATTGTGTGCATCAGATTCACTCTTGAATTTCGAGCGAAAATTTCACTCGATGATTCAGAGTGGAAGAATTCGTTCTGTGCAACAGTTACTCCGTATTTCGAGTGATTTGGCCGACACTCCGTTTTTCGAAAAAAATTTCGCTCGAAGAAATTCAGAGAGCGCGACGCGAATATGCAACAAAAGTGACGAAAATTCTGAACGCGCGTTTTTATCAGATGTGTCAAATTACTCTCTAAATTTTTCACACTGAAGTTTCACCGGGAAGGTAGAGTGTTGGCCGAATCATTCGAATTCGAGCGATTGTTCACACAAAGTGTAATTCTATTCTGAAGTTGAGTTGAAAGTTTCACCCTAAAAATAAAGTGACCACCGAATTCTTCACTCATACAAGAAGAATTACCTACTCTGAATCATCGAGTGAATATTTTCACTCAAAACGAAGAGCACTGAGAGAAAAATATCTAAAAATTTATTTATAACAAATATAAAATCTATTTAAACACAGAAATTAACTTTTTGTTCTTCAAAAGTAAACTTTATATTTCACAAATAAATTTTTTCCTCAATAAGTGATCACTTAAATTCGAGTGATTTTTCCCGAGTCGAAATTTTAGTTCCATTTTCGACCCCAGAATTTTCTAACATCTGTATATTCTGAAGGATTAGTGTATATTTAATACATTGAGAAAAAATTTATTTGTAGAATATAAAATTCATTTCTGTGAGATAAAAAACTTTTTACAAAAGTGACGATTTTACTTCTATAAAATAACTACTGTGCATAAAAAATATATATATTTATTCTACATAAATTTTCAAATATCGTTTTCTCAATATATATACAGAAATTAAAGTCTTACTTAGCGCCATTTAAATGGTAGAAAACGCATCAAATGCCATTTATAGGTTTTGACGCAGGCTTTAGAATGTCATAGCAGGCATTAAATGGAATATTAAAGTCGACAGAAGGATTAAAATTTCGGCTCGAGTTCACTCATACAGAGTGAAATTTCCTCTCTGAATTATGGAGTGAGTATTTTCACTAAATTTCGAGTAGTGAATCTGACTGTACTCTATCGTTACACACTGAGAACAAAATATAAAAGATTAACAAATTTATTAGGTGGATACTATCAACATATTTATTTAAATCAAAATTCTCTTCATTTAAACCAAGTATATTTAAGCCGAATAAATAATACTCAGTTTAAATGAAGAGAATTTTGATTTAAGTAAATATTTTAATGGTACCCACCTAATAAATATTTGTTAATTTTTAAGTATTTTTCTCAGTAGAGGAACATATTCACTCGAATCGATTGAAACATTCGCTCATATGGAGCTTAGAACTGACTCCAAGTCCAAGTTTAATGTTCACTTTTGCGATTTAGAATGAGTATTTTTACTATCGTCTCGAGAGAAAATACCGTCACTTTCACTTGTTTTGAACGAGTTTCCCTTCCAAGAAATTTAGAGAGTAAGAAAACTCGGAAAAGTTGGTCGAAAATAAACATTTTTATCGGAGTCTCGCGACTGTTCATTCTCCCGCGATCATCTCGACTGTTTAAATATGAATAAATCGCGACGTTGCGCTCGCAGTATTGACACTCGGAGGATTAGCGTATTTTTTCGACATACAGTTTGTTAACGTAAACAAAGTCGATGGAAACGTCAACGCGGAGCCTCGGACGACGTCGACGTTCTCGTTGCCTCTCGTTTTTCGCGCGGAGAGAGCGTCTCTTATCTGCGCGCAAACACACACACGTGAATTCGGAAACGTGGCTTCGCGAGATGTCGCGGCGAGGGTATTGTCCGCTCGACGACAGCCTTCGACGACTCGGTAACGGCCCGCTATGATTTATCGAGGACCCTTTTAACGTTCCCGTTAATATTGATATTATTCTCCGTCGCGCTGCTTCGCGCCAAGTCCGCCGCGCGCCGTCGGATTTTCCTCTACAATGCTCCTCCTCCTCCTTCCGATGTATCGATTAACGATATATCGTGGAACGCACATTCAGTAGCTATACGTCCCTTCGATAATTCACGTCGCACGTAAGCTTATTACTCGCCGATTCACTGTGGATTCGTAAATCTCCTCGATAGTTGGACGGCGCTGCCGCCGCGCCGAGGCGCGTGCCACTCGATACTCCCCGGCCCCGACCCGAGAGTTTGCCCGTGCAGCTTTATACGAATCACGTGTGGGGACTGTCTTTGGGAATATTTTATCTCAATGGTGGGACGATCGCTTCGGCTCTATTTCACGCGCCCGTCCGGATCCCCGGAATATTATCTGCAGCGGAAACTAGTGAGACGTGTTCGCGTTTTTAACGAAGCGCGTGAGCGCGCGGATAAGTCTTTCTCTTTTTCTCTGTCTCTATGGCTATGGGCCGGTTGCTCCAAGCCGGTTGCTTGGTAAGTTGACCCATTAACGTCCAAATGTGCTGAAATTTTACGTTGATTTGTTTTACTACCACTTGTTTTACTACGGAAATGAGATCTGTTGTTTATAAAGAGTACCCAAGTAGAAACATCTCAGGGAATAACTGATTACTGGCCAGCAACTAGACAGTTTTTACTGGCTAGGATTAATTAGACAGTTATTGTTTTGAAACTTAGCAGAAAATACTGGCTATTTGTTCATGGCCAATTACTAGTCATAAACTGGACTTGAAATAATAATAAGTAAATACTGGGCAGTCCATTAAAAACTCTGAAAATACTGTTCAGTATTTTTGGGCCAATTATTTGTCAGAAATTATACAAGAAAAATGGTAAGGAAATGCTGTGCATTTTCTGTTCAGCAAAAAATTGGAAATTACTAAATTACTAAATACGGACGAATTTTTTTAAGATAATTCCTGGCCAAAATAAAATAAAATATTATGTTAAAGATGAAAAAAATTTTTAAATAAAAATTATTAAAATTTTATTTTAATAAAATTATTGTTTCGATATATATATATATATACATATATATATATAGTTAAATTATTTATAACTATTAATAAACTGAAAAAATAGATACTGATTAGAAACCGATAAAAAAATGCTTATAAAATAGTGAAAAACTACATAGAAACTAGTAAAAAACTGCTTAGAACCTGCTAATAAACAGATTATATATTGATCAAAATCTAGTTAAAAACTGATCTGAACTGTCTAGTTCAGCTGTCTAGTTTTTGACGAAGCGAGCGTCGACAAAACCAGTCAGTTTCTAACCAAGAAAATTGGCTAAAAACTAGCTAATTACCAAAAATTACTAGTCAAAAGCTGGATAAATTTCTACTCGGGTACCATTCCTACCAGTTTCGATGTCGCTCTATCGAATAGCGTTGAGAAAATAAAAAAAAATCTAATTCAATTTATGCAAAATTTTTATAAAATAAAGTTAAAAACGCATGTTTTTAGGGCTAATTTTTTTTTCTTCCACTATTTTTTTCCATAAAAACGTTAGTATCGCTCGGGAAAGTGTCTGAAACGTTTCTAACACTTTAACTTCAAAAATATGCTATGGATATTTTTTTCAACAAACATGGCGGTACAAAAATGGCAGTCGATTTGAAGTATTTAATTTTTGTTTATATTTGGTTATTGAAATTGTTTTACTACTATAAAACTACTTTACTATGTAATTACTATGTAAATTACTATGTAATTTTGTATTAATGTTGACCTTAAAACAATTTCGATAACCAAATATAAACGAAAATTCAAATTAAATACTTCAAATCGACCGCCATTTTAGTATCGCCATATTTGCTGAATAAAATACTCATGGCATACTTTTTAAGTGAATGTTTCGAGAACACGTTTTAGACACTTTTTCGAGCGATACTAACACGTTTTTATGGAGAAAATAGCGGAAGAAGAAAAAATTAGCCCTAAAAACATGCGTTTTTAATTTTATTTTGCAAAAATTTTGCATAATTTGCGATTCTTTTTAAATTTTTTCAATGCTATTCGACAGAGCGACATCGAAATTGGTAGGAATGATACTCTTTATAAGCAACAGACCTCATTTGCGTAGTAAAATAAATGGCTCAAATCAACGTAAAATTTCAGCACATTTGGGCGTTAATGGATTAACAGAGTCCAAAAGTCGCCCGACGATTAAATCCGAATCGCGGCAATCGGCTCGGTAAAGTTAGTTAAAATCGGAAAGAAAGCGAGAGTAAGGAAGAGAAAAGAGAGAGAGAAAGAAAAAAAGGACGAAACGTAAAGGAGAGTCGTTGAAAACGTGCGCGAAGTGCACATTTTCGCGCAGCTGCGCAACGAGCGCAAAATTGACAAATCGTCATA